GTGCCTGTCACACTGAAGTCAGTATACTTCTGCAACCTTCTCTCCCTCCTCATGCAGATAAAACATCAGTTCCACTTTGAATTTAAAGCAAACAGGATCATTATGTTTGTAGAGCAGCGTGTAGCTCTGCTATTCTAGCAATCTGTGACCTATAAATAATGCAAGACCTGTTCCTTCTCTAAGTGACTTTCTTACAGCATGAGCCTTGATATGTGAAGCATGGAGACCACAAAATAAGGAAAAAAAGAAAATAGAAAAACAAAAGGACAAAAGAAAAATTACCCTGCAGCCATAGAATTTAATCTATTTGTTATTCCCCAATTGAATTAAGAATCATGTCTCTTCTCTCTCTTGTAGCTGCCTCTGAAGCCAACTTTTGAACATTTGGCTGTTTTATTCCTCAAAGCAAAGGTGCATCTCAGCTAATCTGAAAAGTTCTTATGTTTTGCTTTAGAAGTAATGAAAGAAAATAAAAAGGTCTGTTTCCATGTGACCCCTGACCTTTGAACCACAACCTCCTGCCACTAACGGGTTCAGCACCTCATTGAATCTCTCCTCTCTGCACTGGCATAGTGCTGCGAAGAGGAAACGGAAAAAATAATCTGGGGACTTCATCAATTTTTCATGAATTTTCATTTAGGCCAGAACCCCCACTTCTCCTGGTCGATAGATCAAGCTGCTGTCATATATTCACCACCTGGGGCTACAGCTGCTATCTCTAGAGGCAGCTGCCTGCATGCAGGGCCCTGTGCTCCTCCTGCTCCTGCTCCTGCTCCTGCTCCTGCTCCTGCTCCTGCTCCAGTGCCCTGGTCCAGGGCCGAAACCCTATCTATACCCCTCTGCCCTGCACTCCCTGTGGCCGCATCAGAAAACCAGGCATTAACTTCTTGAGTGCTGGGTCCTTGGCTTATGGCTCCTTCAACTGTTCTCTAACTCTTTAAAAACCACATTTTCCTTAGAGCCCTTTCCTCAGTTTGAGTGATTTGAAAGCTCTTTCTCAACTGCTACTTTATTCCAATTCAAAAAAAGAAAAAACAAGAATGAGGTAATTCAAATCTCCATTGCAATCACTGGTCCTCTACTGTATTGTTCAGTTGCATAAATCTGAAATATACACTAAGCAAAAAGAAAATGAGCATGCTAGAGAAAATCACAGGTTGATTTCCTCACAACAAATCAAGCTAGATGGCTCTTAATAAAATTTTATATTTTATACTCTAGTGAAATCCTGTATGTTTGTAATTACAATAAAAAGCAAGGTGAGGCAAAGTGAGTCAAACCCACTATTTTAAAAATCAGTAATTCTTTCACAGTAAAAAGCTTTAAGTTCATTAGTTATGGATACATGCTTTCTCTTTTTGAGACAAGAACTCACTGTATAGTCAAGGCTGGTCTCAAACTCATGGCAGTCCTCCTGCCTTGGCCTCCTGAATGCTGGAATTTAAAGGAATGCACCACTACATCCAGCTTGCACTCATCCTAGACAACCTAGATAGAACTGAATCAGTGTCTTATCTAATTGTACTCCAGGGACACTTTGCAATGTCTGCAGCAGGCATTTTTGGTTGATATAATGGGCTTAGAAGGAAGTCCTATTGGTATCTTACTAGCAGAAGCCAAACATGTTTCTAAACAGCCTACAGTATGGAATAAAGCCCCCATCCCACAGAGAGAACCATCTGATCCCCCAGCTGATGGCGGTGCTGCAGATGTTGAGATGTCCTACTCTAGTTTTGGCACACCCAACTTAGAGGTACATTCTTGAAAGTACAGGCATGATCCGCAACCCAACTCCACCACCTACCCTTCCCCCATGTGCGCTCTCTCCATTGCCAGAGTCCACAGCTACTTTGTATTTGACACCAATGTCCTAGAAACATGGCGCCGGCCCTTTGCTCTTTCTTAAATGGATTCATTTTCTTGTCCCTTCATGGCCCACATGCCCTTCCTCTAATGTGTCTTCTGAGCCTGAACTCTGGCATTGGTGCTACCTTCCTTAGCTAACTAGTAAACGCTGGTGTTCCTAGCAAGGGTGTCAGGCCGCTTTCACGGCTTCCTACACACAGCTGGCCTGGACAACCATCTCTGCTCTCAGCCACTCCTATGGCCTCAGCCTCTACTGAAAAGATATTTCTCAAATTGAGTCTCTTTCTTTTTTTAATAGAAATGAGATTTGTTGCCTTAATACCTCATGTGCATGTCAATGAATAAGCCAAACTGACCATACATGCTTGTTTTCACTTATATCACTTGTTTTCCCATATATCTGAGATTCACACCCCATGTTCCCAAACTGACCATAAAGTGATATAATCTATAGTTCCTAAATATGATTTGAACCATTTCCAATAGGTAAGACAAGCTCACGCTGGGTAAGTCAAGACCAATAGGTAAGAAAAGATCACAAGGCTTAGAAGTAAATTTCGTGGTAATATATTTCATGAAAGACATAGAAAAGACTGATGAGGAAATGGAAAGAGATGAGCCACATACAAATGAATATTATTTGATCTTGTGCTGCCTCAAATGGCATGAACTGTTGACAGGGCATTAGAAGAAAGAATTTTATTCACTAGCTAAATTCAATTTGGAAGCCTTCTTATTTTCCTCTCTAGATCGTAAGTAATTCAAGCATTTCTTAAAGCTCATTTATTTGAAAATAAAAAATGCTACTGTCACATTACATGAAAATGAATCATGGTTTAAATTTTTCCTCCTAAAACAGTTGGATTCATTATTAATGATGCAATTAGGAAAGACAGTAATCCCTTTAGCTGAAATAAAAATAAAAGATGCATGTGTGTTGGGAGCAATTTTAACAAAGCTAAAACTCAGAGAAACAAAATGTTTATAACTGCACTATAATAAAATGACTGACCAATTTAGACAAACTTTAATTTGGAGAAGCAAAATGAGCTAAAGATTTAAAAACAATTATTTGATGTTAAGTACATAAAAGAACAAATTGTGAGAAAAGAAAACTTCATTTATTTAAAATAGGCCAAGTTGCGAGGCGTGGTGGCGTATGCCTGTAACCCCAGCACCAGGGAGGCTGAGGAAGGAGGATCATTGCAAGTTCCAGACCAGCCTGGGCTACAGTGTGAGCTCAAGGCCAGCCTGAAGTGCATAGTGAGACCCTGTCTCAAAAAGATAAAAAAAAAAAAAATGCCAAATTTTATATCATGTTTCTTCTAATAATATTAAAAGTTAAAAGCCTTAGGGTCTGCTGCTAGATTCCTCCCTAACTTACTATCTCTATCCCGGTTACTTAGCATTGTGGGTTTCATTTTCTTTCACTTTCTTATCTATACAATGGGGGAATAATTTGTCATATTTACATAAAGGAAATGGGATGAAAGTCAATAGAATTTGCCTTGGAAATATTTAATATGAACAAAGTTCTGGAAATAAGATATTTCAAGTTAAAAGTGGAAAAGTTAGAATATTTGCATTCTTGGTACTTTGTGTATTTAAAATATCAATAAAGTGATTGCAACCTCAACAGTTTTTGCTGAAGTAGCATTTTATTTAAAAAGGGAAAACCTGGACCCCAGTGCAAAATGGCTCTGCTCTCTAATGTTCTGCTATTTATATACCTTGAGTTTGTTCTCATAAAAAATTGGAGTCTGAGAATATTTCTACTATTGGAGCTATACATTTCAATCTTCCATGAGTTCTAGGTTTTTCCTAGTCAAAATTATCGATCAGAAGACTGAATGTTGAACAACAGCTTTTACTGGGATAGCTGACTAGAAGTAGTATACGACACTTTCATATGTGAAGACAAGGAAATATTTTTGAAAATTTCAGTACACATATTCATGCTGAGTGACACAGTAAGAAACCCTGCAGCATGTGATTATAGGTACCAACTTTTACTAAGTTAAGATACCAGTAGGTATTATCTAGCAAGCCAGTCCCAGTTCTACATAAGTACATATGCATCTGGAATCCCTCAATTACACTTCTTTCTGAAAACTTACACTATGACCAGAAAGTGTAAAAAGTATAAACTTTTCTTAAGTGCAATTGGTACCATGTCATTCACAATTCATTCTAGAGAAAAGCTTTCCTCAAAACAAATAACTGAAATTATATACCACTGTTTAAATTACAACTCCAAATTCTTACCTGTAAGCCAAAGCAATCTTTCATATATTAGTAATTGGCTTTATAAAACAATGCATGAAGTCAAATGGATCATGCAATCTGTGTTGAATAAATGTAAAGAACTGGTAATTTGATTTAGATATGCTATTTGGCCTACATGATAAATATATACATGTATAACAAACAAAACTAAAGAAATCAACAAAAATGCCAACAGCATAGCAAATCCTTAGATGATGCAGATGATCAAAATTAAATATATGCTATTGTTGATATTTTTTCTCTACTATACTCGAATAATGATTCCTGAATTCAGCCTGGAGCAAAAGAGTTGAAAGAATCTACAGAAAAGAACATGTGTGCTTCTGAAAATTTATAAAATATTTAGAAGTCACATATATATATAAATTATATTTATAGTTATATACAATAATGTAATATGTAACTTTATAGTTATATTTATAGATATAGGCAACTGTATTATATATAATTTATGTGATTATATTTATAGTTTTATGAATACAGTATATGTGATTATCTATAGGACTTATGCATCATATCTGATTCCATGGTACATGTAAATGTTTCATTTTAACATAAATAACTTTAATACTTGAGTATATCTTCACTAATAATTCAAATTTTAAATACGATAAGCATACTATATTACTGCTATGCTTCAATATAACATAATCCCCACATTGATTTTAAATAAATATATTAGTTGCTGCACCTAGACTGATACTATTTTAACCAGATTTCTTTGAAGAAATCAAAGTAAAATTATACAGTGTTGTTTTATTCTTTAGGCATCAATATCTATGAGAGCAAAATCAAAGTTGAGTAAAAAGAAATAAAAGCGCACATATAAAATTCCTGTGCTCACTTACATGCCACTTCCAGAGATGCATTTCGACTCACTGCTTCACCAAGGTAGTTCCGTGCCACACACACGTAGCTGCCTTCGTCGGGTTTACTTCTGCGCCCGTGCACAATGCGCAGGAAGAACAGGGATCCACTGGGCAGAAGCATTCTGTGGGACCGGGGATCGTCCTTGTCGGTCTCCACCCGCTCTCCATCCTTGTACCATTCGATGGTGGGCGTGGGGCGGCCCTCCGCCTTGCAGTTCAGGGTGGTGGGCTCTCCCTTAGAGACAATGACATCCGAAGGGTGTTCCACAATCCGCGGGGGAAAGTCTTCCTGGCGAAGACGAGATCCTACGAAACAGGATAGAATGAAGACAAGTTTTAACATTTCCTTTTGTATAGTTTCTATTTCACTTAAGGTCATGGTTACAGAATTAAATTGTTCAGTTATTTCACTGAATTGAATAACTGAAGGCTATTGCATTTTTTGTTGCCCTTTTATTTTTCTATACATCTCCTAAAGTTTTCCCCATTCTTTTTGTAGGCTAAGGCCATATTATGTTAATTCTAATGAGTTAGGTTTATCATGCTCCATACACCATAACAAGAAAATAGCACCAGATATTTTCAAGGGGAACACCATTTTAAAATAAGGACTAAAAGGAATAAGACTAAATGTGTTCAAAATGCTTATTATTTTTTGGGTAAGTAAGCCAAGCAGGCAGGTAGTGAGAAGACACACATAGATACCATTCACTGTGCTGGAGCTATGTTATCAGACTTTAACACAATAGACACTTGCAAATGACAGACAATATTATCTTCATTTTACAGATGTGGAAGCCACTTAAGAAATGATATCAATTGTCCAGGAGTGTATATTAAATAATCAGAAACATTATTTGAACTCAGGTATCTCTAAAGAACTCAAGTATAAGCCATTATGTTAAAATGAAGGGCTATGTGGTATTACAAGAAATTCATTATAGGGAAAAAGAAACAAATGTCAACCCTAACCAGAAAGTAATAAAAGACCTCTACAAAAAGAGTGGCATTTAAACTGGTCTGTTAAGAATGAAAATATGCCAGCTGAAGGAGCAAAACATTCAGATTCAAGGAGTATCATGAAGAGGAAAGGAAAAGGGAAATGGGAGAATACATATACTGGATTTTACACTCAGGGAAGAAGTTGATGTGGCCAGTAAACATAAAAGGTAACTTGGAGTTTGAGACAAACGGCATTTAATATAGGCATTACTTTTAACTCTTTCAGGAAAGATAAAACTTGAGTCATTGGTAGGAAAATGGACACACCTTGAGACAAGAATATTAAGTGAAATAAATCAGACAAGTTTAAATACTGCATGGTTTCTCTTACATGGGAAATCTGAATTATAAATGAACAAAAATAAAATAGATGGAAAGAATTTGGGAGATTTTCTTAAGAAAGGGATCAAGAGATGGAGGGAGGGGGAGTCAAGGGAGGGAAAGGGATGAAAAAAAGGAATTAAAATATGTACATGTACCAACTCAGCACAAGAAATCAAGGAATATAACCATTATGAACTGTAAACATGTTATATATATTTACTGTGAATGTGATTTGTTCTCCAAGGGTCCAAGTGGTAAAAGTTTGGGCCCCAGTGTGGCAGTATTGAGAGACTGTAGGATTTTGAGGGGTTCAGGCCTACTGGAAGGAGGTTAGGTCATTGTGGATGTAACCCTTGGAATGGGTTATTGCTAGTCTTGTAGAGTGAGTAAATTCTTACAAGAAAGAGTGAGTTCAAATGATGTGAATTACCCTGGTCTTTTAACGCCTCTGATTTCCTGACTTGCCCTGTGATCTCTTCCTCTTACACATGCTCATATCATTATGCCATCCACCATACTGTGATATGCAAAAAGGCCCTCACTAGTGCCAGCAGATGCCAGGGTCACGCTCTTGACTTTCAAAATGGTAAACTACATAAAAGTTTTGTTTCAGACAGTACCTCTCACTTTATAAAGCATTCAGGCTCAGATATTTTGTTATAGAAACAGAATATTCTAATGTAGTACCAATAACTTCCTTGTGGCTGCACAATTTATAAGAAATAGAGAGGGATTTATTGGTATTTTAAGATCAAATTCGCTGTGCTATTTTGGATACTTTTGATTTATAAGGAATAGGTATTCTTTATTCATGAAAACATACTATCAGCCCTTGCAAATTGATTATAAGAAGATTCTAAAAGTAATAAGCACATCCACTGACATGATGATGTACATAAGAGCTTCTTAAAAGTTTCCTCTTATAATTTTCCATTCAATCACCCAACATTAGCACATTTTGGCTTAATAACCTAAGTAAAATTTACCCCTCACTGTAATTCCAGTTTGCTTTCAGTATTAAAGGAAAATGCATAATTGAATCATAGGAATTTAATTCGGTCATGTGCAAACCTTTTCTTTTCTGAAATAATTAACTTTTAAAGGTTGCTGACTGCCATTTTTATCCATTAGATCCATAAAAATGAACATCTGTATTACAAGTATTGAGTACCTATAGTAAAAGTATAATTTTCAGCACACAGGTAAGAACTGTAAAACAGAACCGAAGAGTACCAAAGCATAAGGCTATGTGTGTCACAATACTAATTGATACACCTTAAGTAGCAGATCTTCTGGGCAAATTAAGAATTCCAAAGTATTCAAATAAGAATGGCTAAATATAGTTTGAAAATTTCTTACATAGTCTCAAATGTAAAGATCTGAACCCATGGCCATAGAATCTAATGGTAAAAGCACATTAATAATTTTGTATTTTTCTTCATTTAACAGAAAACTTACAAGGCTATAATCACCTCACATAGATATCTTCCTTGCTTTCCTCTGGTCTCCTATATAAATATCTACATTCTCACCACTGCAGTATTATTAAAAGTATATAAGCCAAGTCTTCACATCTCTAGGGTGCTATTTTTACATAAAATTGTCTCCTGTCTTACAAGTTAGTGGTCCTTGATAAACGCTGAACAAGATAAAAAATATATTAAATGAAATTTTAAAAAATGGATTTTAAAGAAAAGGAGGGAAAATATTTAAACCATTTAGTGATAAGATTTAAAATGCAATATACACAATAAATCCTGAGACTTTTAGTCATTTATCTTTATGACACATGTATCTATGTTACAGATTTTGATGTTGCATCAGGACACATTATTCTTATAGACACCTTAATACTGCTATTATAAAATCTTTAAAAGAACTGCTGTGACCTAACAATAGAGTAAAAATTATCAATTAAAAATATTAGAGATGCAAATTTCCATGAATTTTCAGCAAATTTTGAGTTTGGCAAAACATCTTTGGATATGACACGAAAAGTACAAAAGCAGAAATAGATAAATTGGACTTGTTAAAATTTTAAAGTGTTTGCTCTTAGAAAAACACAATAAATAAATAAATAAATAAGACAATTTACAGAATCTGCAAGAAAATTTCCAAATCACTTTTACAACTAAGATATATATCTAAAATATATAGAGAATTTATAACTAAAAATTTTGAAATGAACAAAGGACAGTAATAAATTAGACAAAATGTTAGGCAAATAGCTAGTAAGCAAATAAAAAGATATCAAATATCATTATTTATTTTGGAAATATAAATGAAAATCACAATGAGACATACTTTATAGACATTTTGATGTTTACATTTTTTAAAAACAATTGTGAGGAATGCAGAAAAACTGAAAGCCTCACACACTGCTGACTGGCAGGTGTGTAAAAAGGAACAGCCACTTTGTGAGACACTCTGTTAAGTTCCCCAAAATCTCAAACATACAGTTACCATGTTACCCAATAATTCCACTGCTAACTATATGCCCAGGAAAAATGAAATCATACATCCAAACAAAATTTATAGAGAAATATTCATAGCAGTATTTTTCATTATACCTAAAAGCAGAAACATTCTAATACTTTTAACTCAATGAATTATGATGAATGAATTAAAAATGTATATCATGAATGAATATATAAAATGTGATGCATCCATGAAAGAACAGTATTCTAATAGAATTGAATGAAAGGTCATGATACACATACACCATGGATGAATCCTGAATTCATAAGTGAAAGTACGTAGTCATCAACGATTATATGTTCTATGATTTCATTCAGATTATATGTCCAGGAGAGGAGAATCCATAGATGAAGAAATCTTAGTGGTTGCCCAAGGTACGGGGAATGAATTGAAGGTAAATTGAGACTGAGGATTTACTGCTAATGAGGATGAGATTCTTTAGAATACGACTGGAATATTCTAAAATTGAGTATGGTAATGGTTGTGCAACTCTAAGCATATCATAAAACCATCATACTGTATTTTTAAATGAAAAAATTCTGTAATACATTAATTGTATTTAAATAAAACCATTTTAAACAAATAATAAATACAGATAATTTGTGCTAACTTTGAACATTGGGAGGTTATTTTTGCATTTATAACTTCAAATTCTAATGCAACTATAAGGACTGCAACAGTTCATTAGAGCATAAGTTAAAGTTGAAAGGTCTCACCAGTCAGATAGAGAAAGAGATTAGAAAAACAGATATATGAATAAATGAATGAATGAACTGGTAATATAAATTTTAACATGTTATTAAAAATACTGGGTTTAATTCTGAATTCCCTAGAATTCAGACATCAAACACGTATAGCACAGTCCCTCTGCTGGAACCAGTATATAAATCATATGCAGGCCCATGAGTTCTTTGTAATTGTGTGAAAAGTGAGACTGCTAGCAGAGGAGTGTGGTGGTGGTGGCAGCAGGTCAGTGGGTGGGATGTATTTCACTAAATTTTCAAATAGGGAGGTTTGAGCCTTTAAAATTATCAGGGACTAGAAAGCTACTGGTTATTTTGCTTGTATTATCAAGATAAATAATTCAATTATGTGGTTAACAAACAAGCAAAAACAAAATCCCTATTTATAGTTTTTTGAGCACTCTCCACACTGATTTCCACAGTGCTGGTGTTAGTTTTCTGTGTGATCAAAACATCCATCTTCTGGTACCTTCCCAAAAGAGGTAAAACTCATTGTATTACAATGACATATGAATTCTCACATTTACAGCAGGGCAATTCACAATAATTCAATTATAAAAGTGACTTATGTGCTCATCAGTAGAAGAATGGATAAAAAAGATGTTATATATACACAGTGGGTACTATTCTGCCATAAAGGATAATAAATTTGAGTCATTTTTAGGAAAATGAATGGATCTTGAGACTGTAATACTAAGTGAAATAAAAACACAGAATGTCAAATATCACATGGTTTCCCTAATAAAAAAAAGCCAAAGT